ACCTTTCACATTTAGATCCTCTTTGATTTGAGTGACCTGAAATTGACGAAAAATTTACCTGAAATCGAAAATTCGACCTGAAATTGAAAAAAAATCAAAAAATATTGCATACCTTGCGGCCTGTTGCCTCAGCTATAGCCTTAATCAGCGTTCCCTCAGCGATACCCAACTCAAGACCTTCGTACGCCGGACCCAGTTGATTCACACACAAATAGACACAATCTGTGAGCTCGTGTGCATCCTGGCGGAGTGTTTCCGCGAAAAACTCACTCAAAATTCGAATTATTTCCAACCTGAAATTAAAAATCTAAAAGCTGAACTTGAAATCAGGCTAAAAAATGCCCAAAAATATTAGTTTCCGTGAAAAAAACCCAAAAATTCGTCTAATTTACCAACAAAAAGTGCTCTCCAGCACCCAAAACTCCTCATGCCCCCCGAAAATTTCTAAAAGAAACCGAAAAAACAACCTTGACGATGTGTTCTCGATTCTCTCCAACGTTTTGGCCAGCCGCAAATACGGAATCCTGTAAAAAAATCAAAAAATTCATCAGTTGCCGCTGCCGGGAACCGAACCCCTGGACGTCCCGTGCCAAAACCAAGCGCACTACCACTGCCCTATTGGTACCGTCTTCTAGCCCATCCTAATCTCTTAGATAAGTTTAAACTTTAAAATTTCGCCCCTCTCCCCTTCATTTGACTTGTAATTTTTTTGTGATTTATTATAATTATAATTATTATTATTATTATGACCAACTTGTCGTTCTTGTCATCCTTTTGGTGGCCATTCNCTCAAGCTCAAGCTGAGGCTGGCTTTTGGCTGGTTTACGCACCAAAAATTTGTCCATTTCTCGCGATTTTGCGCTCAAATTTTTGCTTTTGCTTTTTGTACAGATCTGATCTTCTATACCCAAACGTTTGGCGGCGGCTAGCTGCCGTTGGTTTGTGAAGCTACTAAATCCACTGGTGGATAGACAAAATCCACCAAAACAATTCGGCCTATTAAATGGAGATCTTCTAATCAGTTGAGATCTAATTAGGCTGAAACCTCTCCGCATCCAACGCAATACCCTCCTCCTTCTACTCCTTTGAATCGTCTCTTGCCTCTTCTGCCTGGAATACACCATATTACTGCCCTTATTACTATCATTATTACTATCTAATTTTATTGATAAAACCACAAATTTATCGAAAATTCACCCAATTATTATCAAATTATCACAAAAATTAATATTGCTGGCATTACAGGAAATCAAAATTTCAACTGTTTTCTTTAAAAAATCTTAAGAAATGTGCTCACAACACCGTCCAATGATTAAAATATTTCATTCATTCAACAGAATTTCAAACAAAACACTTGCACTCCAAATAATAATAATAACAAAACAATAACAAATGCCATCAAAACAGATCATCTTCAAGTAAACAGTAATAACAGTAAAATAATGAACTGATTTGTTAAAACGTGATATATGAGAAAGTATTTGTATGTATATTTGTATGTATACACTCA